TCTTTGTCCAATTTGGAGCAATGAGACAGTGTTCCATTGGACTCTACTTACAGCTGAGAGGCTTGAAAAGAATCAGAAGTGGACTTTCAGGTACAGGGATACCCTACCAGCCCTTCCAGAAGATTGCAGGAAGAAGGCTTCCATTATAGCCAGCCTCCTGCAGAAGGAAGAGGTTTCTTTGAAGGCCTGCAACCATTTCCAGCAAGTTGGAAGCACTTGTGGGCTTTGGACCCTTGCATACATGATGTCAGAGGTTTGCAGCTTGTTTGAAGGCTTGGCTTCCAGAGGGCACCCAGAGATTGGCTCATTGAAGGCCAAATTTACAGCTTGGTGGCATCAGCTTTCAGCAGAGAAAAAAAACTTCAAGAAGCCAAGGAAACTGTTGAAGCGAAGGCCACAAAAGTTTCAGACCAGCAAGAGAAAGCCAAGAACAGGGCATTGGAGATACTTTCTAAATTGAAGAGTCATACCAGTGCTGCAGCCATTAAAGCTCAACAGATGCTTGAAGACAATAGCAAGTACTTCAAGCTGCAGCTTTTGAGTGAGGATTCAAGGTACAAGATTGAAGGAACCATTTCCAAGGGAAACCTTTGTTCCAAGTGCAGGTGGAACAGTGGGTGTTTGGAGTGCCATCCAGGCAAAGCTTTGAGGTACTATTGGAGCAAAGAAGCACATGCACAGAGCCTTGTTCCAGGTCCAGATCTTCCAAAGAGCTGGGAGTGTCTTTCAGGAGACAGGGGGATGAAAACAAACACCAGCAAAACACCAGCAACAACAAACACCAACAACACAAATGTCAATGGAAATCTGCATCCAAGTGCCTGCAAAACTACAAAATCTCAATGGAAATCTCAAATTCCTAAAGGAAATCTGCATCCAAAGACCTTCAAAACCCAAAATCTCAATGGAAATCTACAATTCCCAAAGGAAATCTGCATCCAAAGACCTTCAAAAACCAACAAAAATCAATGGAAATCTCCATTTCCCAAAGGAAATCTGCATCCAAAGCCCTTCAAAAACCACAAAAATCAATGGAAATCTCCAAGTCCCAAAGGAAATCTGCATCCAAAGACCTTCAAAAGCCACAAAATCTCAATTCTAATCTCAAATTACTAAAGGAAATCTACATCCAAAGACCTTCAAAACCCAAAATCTCAATGGAAATCTACAATTCCCAAAGGAAATCTGCATCCAAAGACCTTCAAAAAGCAAAAGAAATCAATGGAAATCTCCATTTCCCAAGGGACATCTGCATCCAAAGCCCTTCAAAAACCAAGAAAAATCAATGGAAATCTCCATTTCCCAAAGGACATCTGCATCCAAAGCCCTTCAAAAACAAAAAAAATCAATGGAAATCTCCAATTCCCAAAGGTCCCAAAGGAAATCTGCATCCAAAGACCTTCAAACTCCAAAAAAAATCTTTGCTGCCACTGGAAATCTGCATCCAAAGATCTAAAAAATCAGTAAGCCAGAGAGTAAAAATAACAATATATAACAATAAAAAAATCACCAAAAAAACTATCCCTCCCAAAAAAAAGACATTATTCTGGGGGCCTTTATTAATCAGTGCAGGAAAAAAATGTCACTATTCTAGGGGAGTTGATTAATCAGAGGACCACATTAGTTGGTTGGGAATCAATGCCATGGCTGACTATGAGATCTCAGATTGCCACTCGAAAGAGCGAGCACCGACTTCCAGCAACTCCAAAGCCTGTGAGCTGGCAATTGCAACATTTAAGATGCATACATTTTTTCATATTTTCTCTATGCACTTGGACTCAACCCCACATTCTGGCTCAACATCCAAGTGGAAAATGGTCCCCTGGACGGGTTCTCCGCTTCGATTGTAGTGTCGGGTGGGCTCCTGGTGAATCGAAACGCTGACCTGCCAAACATGTCTGGGTCTGGCCTTCTTCAATCGCAAGTGCCGGTGCTGGATGTAATCCCTGGGCCTGTTTCGTGCTGCATCTCCTTGTAGCATTGGCCCATGTCCTGGATAAATTCGCTCGGGCCTGAAGCTGTGAAGGAGCTCCAGGGAAGACATGTATGCTTCCAAATCCTGGACGATAACAGTGCCAGTGCCAAGAATGTGATCTCCGGTGAAAAGCGCCTTCTCCTCTTCAAGCCAGAAGCATACATGATCGTTTGCATGGCCTGGGGTGTGAATAGCCTTCAACGTGGAACCATGTAGTTTCAAAACCTCTCCATTCTTTAGAGGGCGAAATCTGGTTTGCCTGCATTTGCCCAAGGTTTGGGCAGGGTCTGTTGCATCCTCCGCCGTGCCCAACTGCCCAAACGACAGCCCACTGGCTGGCTGGCATCGCCAAACTTGAAGATCTGGAAACCTTTGCACCAAATCTGGCAGGCCCCCAATATGATCCACATGAGTGTGTGTTAGTATCACATCAGTTATCTCGCAGTCCTCCCCATGCAAGACTTGCACGAGGCTTTCAACGAACTCAGCTCTTCCCTCCCCAGTGTCCACCAACACTCTTTTTCTGCCGCGCCCAATGAGGTAGCAGTTTGTGCCTTGCAGGGTGTAGGGCCCAGGATTCAGACCCAAAATCACCATCACCTGGTCGGAGAGCTTCGCAACGCTCGGTAGCCCCTCCAACTGCTGACGCCCATGTTTGAAGTGAGCCGCCAAGTTCACATCCATGGCTACGCCGCAGCAAAGTGCGCTAAGGATCTGTAGGTAGTGCACCGTCAAAAACAAGATGGGCACACACGCACCCGAAAACAAGCGGCCAAACAATGTTTGACACTCTTGTTGGACACTCTGGGACACTCTTGTAGGACGGACGCTCTTGCAGGGCACTCTCTTGTCGGACACTCTGTGGGACACTCTTGTAAGGCCTCTTCTTGGACACTCTTGTAGGGCACTCTGGTGGCACTGTCTTGTGTGGGACACTCTTGTTTAGGACGCTCCAGTGATCTCTAGTGAAGTGACTCTTGGTGGTAGAGCCTTGTGTGGGACATGCTTATGAAACACTCTTGTAGGACACGTTCGACACTCTTGTGGGACACTCTTGTGGCACACACGCTTGTAGGGAACTCTCTTGTGGTGCACTCTTGTGGGACACTTTTGTAGGGCACTCTTCCGTGTCGTGGGGCGTTCTTTTAGGGCACTCTCTTGTTTTGCACTCTGGTGGCAAAGTCTTGTGTGGGACACTCTTGCCACTCTCTTGTAGGACGCTCTTGTAGGGCACTCTCTTCGTGTGGGACACACTTGTACACTCTTTGGCAACCACAAGCCGCTCACCAGCGACACGCCGCGTTTACACAGGCATGATCTCCTTCCCCCAATGCGTGCTGCGGGGACATGGTGCCAAGCCAACATTTGCGCAGCATGTGTTTCTGAGCACACTCACATCCACCAAAATCGCAGTTCAGAGACTTGTCACGAAAGCACAGCTTCGAGGCAACAGCCTGAGTGCGACATCCAGCACTTCCAACCGACCACCCGGCGAGCGCCAATCTCAATGGCACAGCGACGGATACTGAGGATCTCACGAAATGCTGCACGCGCGCGGGAAGAAAAAATACTCCACACTTCAACATGTGACGTTTCTACTTTCTACATTTTCTACACTATTTCACACGAATCTGACACTTGAGGCTTCCATCCAAAATAAATATCTTCCAAAAGCTTCCCCCAACGGCACGGACCTTGTCGACATTCGAAAACATGCCGACGGTTGCGAAGGGTTGCGAACACAATAGGAATCCTTCGCGACGCGAAAAAGCCTCCACCATCCCGAATCCAAAGACTTGGGAGTCGGTCCCACGGCGACCCCGAAACTGTCTGTGTTATTTTGTGGATATCCTGTTTAAGTCGATGTCTATTTGATGCACCCCTTGGGAGCATAAAAGTTTGGGGGGGCCAGGTATATAATATATATAGTTATATATATATAGTTATATACGTGTCATTACGCGTCAATGTTGTGATGCACTCGATTTCAGGCGCGCGTTTTTGAGGACACATGGTTGTTTGGTTCGCGCGTTCCGTGAACCTCCACTTCTTGGCTTATAGAATGGGTTCCAGTTAGACGTGACGTTGCTGTGAGGACTTGTTTCGCTGTTGGTTCTGCAAACGGAGAACCCAGAGTCTAGTTCTCCTCGAAAGGCTTTGGAACGTGCTTCATGGAAGCTATGAATGAAGCAATGGAGAGCACGTCCGTGAAGGTGAAGATCATACTAATAAGAAGAATAAGGAGGTTTGCAGTGGCCGACTGTGAGACTGTTGCTTCGAGCTAGTTTTTCGATGCAATGTCAAACCTATGGGCCTATGGGACTTGATCTCGCAAAGGAGCTCGCTCATGCATGCTGGCTGCTGGCAGTAAAAACAAGGGCTAGGTGCTTGTATGATACAGAATCACTTGAACAAGTTGAACACCCAAACACCAACAAAAGAATTCCCCAAGTCGCTGCCAGGCCGGAGAAAAAACAATGATTGACAACCAAACTTGACAAACCAAGGTCTCACAATCCAACTTGGCATTTTGGTCTCAAAACCTAAGAGTCTAGAGTTTTGAAAGTTCGCGTTTGCTGGATCCTCTCTGGTGTCGGAACCGGTGCCGCTCACTGATCAACCTGTGCTTCTTCTTTTGGGGCCTGGCTTGTGGCCTGTGTGGTTGCCTGCTGGTGTGTCTGTGGTGCTGAACGATTCTTGGACCCCATAATCTACTGGAGAGAAACCCAAATTCTTTTTCAACATTATCGCTCCACGCAGGGCTGGAAGAAACCCAGGTATGCCCTGTGCCTGGGTCATGCAAATGGTCTGGTTGCACCATCCAGCGGAAAGGGTCATGATTTCAACATGAACATCGGACCAGCTGAATCGGGTGCTCTTGGTTGTGCGGTGGTTAGGAAGAACTGAACTGCAGTACTTGCAACCTTACACAACCTCCATTGAGAAAAGAACTGCAACTTGGACTCCACTTCTGAACGAGATCTTTCCAATGATCCTTCCCACAGACTTGCGGCGTATTATTTCTTCCACTTCAACCATGGCAAATGGATGCCGCTGCAACTGATAGCAGCGACGAAAAGAACTCTTGGCTTGAACAAACCACCATATGCATCCATATGCCATATGCCGCTTCGCCGGCATGATTCTCCAAGAGCGGCGGGGCCATGTTCCGTGGGCCAAAAGTGGTTGGAACGTCGGGCGGGTGGGTGGGTGGATATTTATTTCCGTCCTGAAGTCCTGCTTCGATGGGCTGCCAGTCGATCTTCGATCCAAAGCGTGGCAGGTCTGACCCCAGGCGATTCCTCACATACGATTGATGCTCCTCATCACGATTCACGCTTGGCACGGGCAACCAGACTCTGCAAAACACACCGTTCGTCCGCGAGAGCTTGTGCACAATTTTGCTGTGAGACCACTTCCCAGTCTTCTTTGACTTCAGGTCCCTCAAATTCACAAAGTTTGCCAAGTGCTTGCTGAGCTGAGTGTTGTAGCCTCACACTCTGGGAGTCTGAAGCACACAAATGGGCCCAGTTTGGGGATTGTATTGTGGGTTGATGGGAGTAGTGGGGTCACCAGCGGTCATCCTGCTAAACAAGTCAAGGAGCCTTATCAAGGCTTCCATCTCAACACTTGGGTCCTGCAGCTTTTCCTCCAAATCACAGCTTGATCCTTGGGGCTGCCCACAAACGACGGCCGCGCGGAGGAGTTCCAAAAAGGCTTCTGCCGCTTCATCGACCTCTAGCAGCAGTTCTCCTTTGCGAAAAGAACGTCCCTTGGACACTCGAGTCCAAAAAACTTTCTTTTCCTTCAAGGCTGGATCTGTCTCCAAAAGCTGTGGCAGTTGGAATGCCAAAGAAACCACAGCAGGGGGAGCCTGTGGCAAAACGAAGCCGTAGTCCTGAGATTTGTTCAAACACTGGAAACATGTTGCGGTAAAGGTACTTGTGAACAACTTAAAAGAATCTCCAACATCAGCTGCTGGGAGTCCAAGAGCAACGTGGCATTTGGTTTATCACCATACGACTGCAGTAGTTCTGCACCCTGTGGAACCAACTGGCCCAAGTTCATGACAAAATCACCTGAGACGGGCGAAATGTGTGTTGTAAAACATTGCAAAACACTGGTGATACCTAGGCATGAGGAGATTGATCAAAATATCATTGCGTCTCCCTTATCCCTCGCATCAATTGGCTGCTCTGGCAATGGCTTCGAACGCAGGATTTTGTCTACCAAGCAAGGAACTCGCGGTTTCGCCTTCCAGCCCATAGCGCACACAAACCTGTCAGGGTTTGGACACTCTGGTTTTGCCAAAGCAAACTAGATGCGAATGTGAGATGGTGGTATGCAAATCTTTCCTGCGCTTGAGCCCCCGCCTAGCCTCTGATGACGTGCCGTGGTTTAGAAGATCTGCCCAAGGAACTAAGCAGCGCTGGCTTTGAAGTGAATACGCGCCTAGCATTGTTAACCCAAACTGAAACCGCATTGTTGACATGTCCAAAGCACCTCTCTCTCTCTCTCTCTCTAGGTCTCTCAAGCACTCTTGGATTGCCACAAATGCACGCAGGCGCCGCAACAGGCGCCGTGACAAGACCACAACGCACTCGATCCTTCTGGAGACACACACACACACACACGTGCGTCTCCAAGTGTGCCACACAACAACTGGCCGTCGGCTGAACTGGGTCGAGGGACGGCTGGAGACGATACAGCGCGCCCAAAGAAAGTCCTCACGACTGGTCACAATATCTGACAATGGAACCTCTGTCATGGCCAGAAGAACGTTTTCTCATCACTTGCTACTTGTTGAAAGTGAAGGACACCCCTGCAAGCCGTGCAAACTCAAAAGCTCCTCCCAAGTCAGCGGCAGCTTGCCAACGTAGCTCTTCAACAAAGCAAACTCTAGTCCCAAATTGTGCCTGGAAGGGAGGAGGGTTCCAACACTTTATGCGATTAGTAAGGGGAACCGTTGAACATGCCCAGTATTGCGGTGACTTCCACCGTGCGCGCGGTTTCTTTTTTTCTCCGGGCCTTTTGGCTCGGACTTGCCGTTCCAGGTGGCTTCCCTTGATGGTTGAATGCAACCAGTGATCATCTGGCCAACACACCGGCAAACTTGAGAGCTTCTTGGGCAACACATGGAAGTAAGGCGCGTAGAAACTGTTGCAATGAGCGCCAGCGGCTCCTTCATGCAGAAGGAAGGCTGTGAGCAACACAAGTCCCGGTGCCGCCGTGAACTCCTGGAGGCTGCGGCACGCCGGAGCTGCTACATGACGGCACGAGTGCCGTTTACACCCCAGTTGTGCCTGCGGTCGCTCCAAAGGAAATAACATAATATATATATATATATATAATATGTCACCTGTGACCCCTATGCAATGTGGCTGACTCAACTTGTGAAGGGGAGAGAGTACCATGCATCTATCTAGAGCAATTGCTACTGAAAGGGGTTGGATAGAAATACCATGAATGACCTCATGTTGGAATCATTCCCGGGATATTTAGCTTTGTCATGGTTGAGTACGAACTGAAACCTAAGGCCTATCAAAAGCACACACGCACATGAGATAAACTGGTGCAACATGACCTCTTCTCGCACAAAATCAGCAAAATAATTCAGAACACTTCTCTTCTGAGCAGCAATAGCCCAGGAGTGTCACTGCCCCCGCCCCTTCTCAAAAGCTAGTGGCTTCGAGTGCTCCTCTGCTGCCATACGCAACTCATGACCAAAGGCCATTGAACCTTCTGCCAGCTTTTCACCTTGGATTCAACAAATACTTGAGCTGGAGAGGGCGTCGGGCATTTTTTGCTTAGCCTCAATCCGCCCCAGAAAAAATATCGAACACATCCCAACACAGTATGCCTGAACATGTTACAATACCGGTCCAAGTAGTCCAAGTCTCTAATCAAAAGTTTCGGTGGTAAGCGGCACAACTCACCGGCCAGATCCTTGCTGGCGAATGCGCCTCGTCCACGGTCACCCTTGTGGATGCCCACGGCTGGGTGTACGAAGCCGCCATGCTCGCGGACCCAACTCCTTGGAACTTGCATTCCAGGTGTGCTGAAGGTGCCCCCGGACAAGGCGGAATCAACCCTGTGAAACCAGCAAAACCTTTGCACAAAACATAAACACCGTTTATATAACACCCCAAAAAACGGCATGTCTCCCACCTTGACGCTGTGGACATTGTGGCTTTCGGCAATGTTGCGCAAGTTACTTGAAACCAGCAGCAGCATTCAAAACATCCACCCCCTCGCGCACCTTTACGAACAGTTCTTGACTCAGCGAGCGTGCATCCTACACATGAACCAGTCACAAGATGTCACAAAAAGAACTTGCAATTGAAAGCGGCTGAGGAGATTTGTTGCACCATTCCGCAACCAAAGAGCCATGAACATATTTCCCCAAAAGGTAGTAAACATTGCATGGGTCTTTCCCAACGCTTCGCCGCAAACGAGCCGATCGAAACGACCCTTATCATCCCTTATCCTGTTTCCCAAATGGATAGCACGTTGGTGCGAGGAGTCCCACGACCTGGCCCCGACACAGCCATAGCAGCAATGCAAAAGAACAACACCAACTAAGAGAGATGCGCAAGATACACAAGCGCAAATTGCCGCCCAGTCCGGGCGATAGAAGCCAACACAGCTGGCGCACTAAAACGAGACACTCGGAAATTCAAACCGACCGGTTGTAGGTGAAGCCAACTCAATCAGGTGGACCCAACCCCAAAAGGACATGTTGATTTCACAGTTTGGCGCCCACTCCACGAGAAGTGAGGGCAACAAATAAGGGAAGTCAATGAGGAAAAGTGGTGGCAAAGAAAAGCCGGTTCCATGGCCAAGTGCATCAATGGAGTGGGGGCTTCTGAGCAGCTGCTGGACTGCGCCACTCCTTTGAACACACCAGAATTGCCGTACTTGCACACAGGGGTCGGCACCTGACCCAGAAGATCTAACTATGAACGGGTGATGTCCCAAAACCTACTTGCATCTACTTGCGCACGCAGAAGTTACCTCAGGTTGATTGAGTCCTTGTGACACGGAGCGGCTCTAAAATTGTGCTTTTGGGCGGCTTAGAAGAGGTATGCCCACGCTACGTTGGAATGGCAAAATCTTCCCCTTGGGTCGCTCACAAAAGGAATGCCTATGCTGATGCTACATTGGATTGGTCGCATCCTCAATTAAATCGTGCCTGTGGGGTAGCTCACAAAAGGTATGCCTATGCTAGGTTGGAATGGCTCCTGCCTCCTCCAAATTATACCCTTACTTATGCCTAAGCTGCGTTGGAATGGCACCTTCCTCTCTAAGTTTTACCTTGGGGTAGCTCGGAATAGAATGCTAATTACTTTGGACTGTTGCCTTCCTCTTCTAAATTCGACCTTTGGGTGGTTCACAAAAGGTAAGCCTATGCTATGTTGGAAGGGCTCCTTTCCTTGCCCCTCTAAGTTTTAGCCTTGGTTGGACCAAAGGAATGTCCCCCCTCCTCCTTCAATTGTTGTTTAAATTTTGGCCCTGGCTAACAAAAGGTATGCCTTCGCTACGGTATGCTCTATTGGAATGGCTCTTGTTGCAGGTATGCTACGTTCGATTGGCCCCTTCCTCCTAAAGGTTTTACTGTGTTTCACTATATATAAGAATATATAAGAAAAGTCGTGTGGCGTACAAAAGGTGTGCCGATGCTACGTTGGAATGGTCCCTTCCTCCTCTAAAATTTGCTCTCGGTTGGCCCACCAAAGGCATGCTCCGTTGCAATGGCATTTCTCCCTCTAAATTTGAGCCTTGGTTGGTTGGCCCATAACATGCCACGTTCAACTGGCTTCTGCCTCTTCTGAATTTCGCCCTCGGGTGGCTCACAAAAGGTATGCTACATTGGAATGGCTCCGTCCTTCTCTATATAAATGTTGCTCTCGAACCGCCGTGTTTTCACATATCTGGGATTGCCTGTGAATTCATCGAAGACCAGAATCCTTGAACGACCTGACACCTTAATGCGCTTAATGTCTTCATGGCAAACACAGCATCCTTGGACCATTGGAAGTGTGGTGCATTATGGGGAAGGTGCTTCCAACATGCGCGTTTACAAGCAGGCCGTTGTCCGCGTGTACAAGCGAGTGCTATGCCCTGCTGGACCGTAGGACCGGCGGCCTTAGGTTCAATCATGTCCAATTGGGGTGGTGCCCGGCCTGCCAACTGCTGGATCAGCGAACAACAATCGCAACTCCCCCAAAAAAGTGAAGGTGTGATGTCATGGCTTGTGTTCGATGAAGGCTGTCACGCAAACTTCACAAATAGAATCACTTAAACATACTTATATATATAAACTATAAAAGGGTTAACAAGGAATGTATGGGGGAATGTAGCGTTTGAAAGCTCTTACCTATTGTGAGTCCATGCTGCCCTGAAGCCTACTAAAAGGGAATGCAGCGTGCCAGCACAACGGCATCGTTTAAAAGTAGCCTAAGTGTGGAAAGAAATTCCAGTTCTTGCTGGCATGGTGCTCCAAGAGTTCTACGAACTCCGCCATTTTCGCCACAAGTGAGCCACTCTGCTTTCGCTCCGAACATGAGGCCATCCGCTCGACGCTTCAAAGGCCGGGAGGCGCAACGGCGCAAGAGCTTGAGGTCTTCACCACTAGAAATCAGCTCAGCTGGTGCGATGTTTTTCATTCTAACACAGTTGCGCGGCTCCTATGAGACTCATTGAGACTCGAGAATGACGTCTTTGAGTGAAGGTCAAAGAGTCTTCACAGGGGATCTCCACACTGTGAGACCTCTTGAAACATATGACACTATATTGTCTCGAATCCTTTCTCATAAAGAACCAAACCAAATGAATGTGGGGCCTTCATTTCTTGGAGTACTCTTTGGCCAAGTCATCAAAGTCTACCCGTTTACCGTCGCGGAAGACAACCGGCTTGTACTCACCTGGCGGTGGCAAATTTGGCAGCACCATACAATGTGCAAGAATTTAGAGGCTCTGGCTGAGTCAACCTATCTTGACGACCATTGTCAATTGCAAACACCGGGCAGGAGGCACCATTGTTAAAGTGCAAAACTGCTTTCTTCGTGAGCTGTTGCACATTCCTGGCTACTCTGAAGTGCTGGTGTGCCATGTTGACAGAAATGTACCGCTTTCAATGTCGGTTATTAAGTATGTCCTGGCCAAACCTTGGACATGGGCTGGATTGACCGTCGCAATTTTTTGGCCTCGTAGACACGGATAGATGTCACCAAAGTGCGGTCTCTTTCCACCTTCTGAGCTTGCCACTGTTGTGATTCCTGAAGCGATAGCCCTCAGCATTTCAGTTTCTTGTTTCGTGGAAAAATGATCAAGCTCTCTCGGATATTCCGCATGTCAACGTTTCATGTTGTCAGAACAAATCGTCCACTATACAGTATTACACATATGCCAGCCGCAAAGGCACCTCAAAGTGCTGTGAAAAGCGGGACATGTCCGCAGGGTCCAAGAAATTGATGAAGGCATACCCTCAGTCAGATTGGGCACATCGTGTTGAAGAAAGGCTGCATTTTAGAAGGCCTATGTTTCGTTCGAGCACCAGGTGGAGTCTACACTGGATCGGCTGCACTAGGGCAGGATTCAAAAGGACAGAATAGGAGAGCTGCCAACATTTGTCTTGTTCCGGACATCCATTGGCACATAGAAGAAGTCGTACCTCCACACGACAAATCTTGGGCATTCTTAGGCATGCCAAAGAGCAACTTTCTTCTCAAACTCAAGCATCGGAATGCATTCAGCATCTTTTGGCAAAACATGCAAACATATATCCCTCTTGAAGGCTAATCCAACAGCAACATCATGCAGCATGCCGCACAAGCCCGAGAAACCCTCGGCGTCGATCTCTTCCAGCAAGGCTTTCTGACACGGAACACGGAAGACAAAAGTTCTGCAAACACGTGCAAAAACCAAACTCCCTCAAACATGGTTGCTTTACTTCACACATGTTCTACGAACACTCGAGCGTATAGATCTCCGTCTGCTCACGACCCAAGGAGTCAGCCGGACATGGTCCCGGTCGTGCCTGGGAAAATTTGTTCGGGATGTTTCGCAGCATCGCCTGAGATGTTTCGGCGCTGTTTCCGCCACACGTGCCACGATGCGGGTAGCGACACGTCCCAGTGACTGTTGTAGCAGGTCCTTCCTGCGCGTCTGTGGACAGGTCTGTGGCCTCAAAAACAGAGTTGGACATGGCTTGATATGGTTCGATGTAAAGTCATGGCATTCTCTGTGCAAAGCTTTCCAACTATATATGCACATTTTATCTATATTTTATGTGTGTGTGCAAAGCTCTGACAACAACTTCCCTGAAGTTGCCTTTGGCACACTGGTCGCATGGTATGGCTTGAACTCCTTCTTGAAGCCGGAGGCATCTTTGGCAGCTCTGCGCTTCTTGCCTCCTACTTACAGCAGCAAGGCTCTTCTTTTTGCGTCAAGAGTCAAGAGTTGCAAAGAACCCACACTTTTGAATCTTCTCCGCCCACTGGCACGCCCACTGGCACGCCGAGCTCTGTTTGTGTCCAGACCCCCTCCTCGTGGAGGCGATCGGCTTCTTGAGCGGTCCTCAGCCCGAGTGCTCGAGCGGCCCTTTCCACAGCTTACCAGCCCGAACTCACAGCTGACCGCGCTTGAACCAGGTCCAGGAAGACCTTGGCATAGCACCCATACTTTCTGTGTGGAGAAGTTAAGCCCAGCAACAGCGGCAAAGTGAGCAAGGTTCATATAGAACCTATCCAAGTCTGACCGGACCCTCTCCTTGCTGAGTCTTGAGCCAGGGTGTGGGGGGTATCCTGGAGCATAGGCAGGATGCGGATAGGCTGGGTACGCTGCCTAGGTGTCATGGGCCTGACTGCCAGTCAGGCTAAAAACTGAGTCACTGAGCTACCCACTGGTGGCCAATACTGAGGCGGTCCTCACTTTCTGTCTGAAGGTCGTGCTTGCAGCATTGCACGTCCCTTCTGCGATGTGTACACCGTTTCAGCGAGGAACATTTCAGAATTATATACAGTAATTGTAAAATATTCTTACACAAAAGAAAAATATATTGTGTATATATATATATTATATATATATAGTACAGTCTATATTCTGCTTTATATACCTGCTTCCGGGAATCACATTTTTGCCAATCTCACCACGGCTGCAGTTTGTGCAACAGAGAACTCCCTGCAAGAACTGTCAATCCAGGAGGAAAATTAGGACAATTGCTAGGAGGTGGACGCAAACCCCTTGTTTGCCCCGAAGGTTTGACCATGTTGGCAATGCTTCTGCTGGGTCGAAAGTGCATTGTGCTCGCATCTTTGGGAATTCACCAAAGGAGTACCTTCAAACGTCAAACCCTTCTCTTTTCTGCCGGGTGCGCAACGGTTCTTTCTTGTAGAATGCCAGTTTGTGCACTGGGGATTTGGCTGTCGGTGAAAACCAGGATACCTTGGTTGACCTTGACCTAGCGGGAAGGTGAAGCTACAGGTGGACGGCTTCAGGTTTTGACGGGGATGTCACTAAACCTACTTCCGCCACCTCATGCAACCCAAACACACACGCAATATTGTGCTTGAGGCTTATGCATGGCAAAGACCTCCGACATTATACCCGCCTTCTGAAGCGAAGAGACGTTTTGTCATAGATGCAAGACATGTTCGAACCCTCAAAACAACTGTCAAGTTTGAGGTAGGCCGAGTGGACACCCACTGAAACTTGGGGGCAGGTGGACAACTTCCGCCACCCACGCGTGGGCACAAGGCGGCGCACCCAGTGGCCGGAAACTCGCTCAGGCACAGGCTGTAAGCAACTGGAGGAGCCTGAACTCTCTCTCTCTCTCTGTGCCCATCTCTGCATGTTTCGTCCACTAGGCAGGTCTCTCATGGTCTCTCCGCGTTTTGAGTTTCTCACCTGCCGGTGCTCCCAACAGGGCAAACAATACCTTGAAGACTTGTCATAAACTGGAGGCTTGCATCTTTCGAACTCTCCACCTCAGCTCCTCACCAGTAGTCCACAGCTTGGTCTACGTGTCCCTCATCTCGTAGCCTGAGCTCGTCACCGACTTGATGATTCAGTGTTCAAGTGAACCTTCCCCCTTGCGAAGGTTGACATGCATATTCGGTAATCGCAAGCCGTTCAAGCTTTGAGTCTTGGTTTTGGACACTTTGCACAGCGCACATCGTCGCCTCCTACAAACCATGGGAGCATCGGCTGCAGTTTCTTCGCTGGTGCTAGTGCTATCGATGAAAAACGACTATAGACACGGATGAATGCAATAGGCTGCTTAGAAATTGAGTTGTTGCGCACAAAAAACCCAACTCAACACCTCTGAAGCCAGGACTGGTAAACCAAGGCGTAAATTCTGTTTGTACGTCACTGACTACTGTGCTACGATTGTGCTACGTGTAGCCCCAAATATCGGAGAAGGCCCATACTCATTCTGCGTACCTATAGTGCGTTCGAGTGCGACATGCACCGGACAGTTGCCAAGGTGTGCCTTCCACAAAAGGTAAGCCAGCAATCCTGCCAATAAAGCCAGAAAATGCCACAACCACATTTCAACCAGTTCCAGCCGGATTCACTTGGATGAAATGATGCCACCTTGCCTCACAATACCAGTACAGGCCGCTCTCTGCATCGCGATGCCCATATTCCTGGTCGACTCAATCATGCCACGTCCATAGCAGTGATGGTCTGAGTGTGCAACTCCTCTTCAAGCCATGTAGCTTCACACAGCAAATGGAAGAGCACGATTCATTTGTTCACCAATAACCTCACGTACCATACCCTTGTGCTGCCCTAATGCACCCCAACTCCTACCCGGACCCATGCCCTCCTTATGCAGTCTGCATCGGGTGCAGGTCCCAGGCATCTTGACCTTTCTGTTGCCAGAGCTGAGAAAGAAGCTTTGCATTGGTGGCGTCACAGTGGGCACCCTGCCTACATCGGCGCATGATGAGCCTACCCTAACTATCACTTGAAGAGCTTGATCAACAAAGTACGAGTACGAGTAGCAATAGCCATGCATGCCCAAGCCATGTGGAATTGTTTCCAGGTTCAAGAATACTTGGCAGGTGGTCTTTGAGTGGCCTTTTCTGGCTGAGCTCTGTTTGTCAATGTGTTACTGTGTATGAATGTTTTGGACCACACTGCTTGAAGCAAAGTGTCATGACCTTTTTCGCCTCCTTGCTATTGCCATGAAGGCCACGGCCATGTTTTTGGACCTCTGAGAAGCAAAGTTCAGCAGCTTGGTGCAGTCAGCAGTCAGCAACGACCCGAGGCCAGTGGCCTTGAGACGGAGTGGGCACAGCACCGATTGCCATACGCCTTGCACTGGCGAGTGATCAGATGGGACGAGTGACCGCTGCTTTTCGATCAAAAAAACTCGTTCTGATCCAAATTTAGTTCGTCTCAAAAAAACAGGTCTGGGACCGCATTCCTGACCTGACAAAGGTCGGATCATCGAAACCCAAAGACTGTGGTCTAACCACCCACTATCCAACTTGTTCAGCACTGGGAACAGTGGAGTGCTATTTCATGCGATGTCAGCGGATGTCTCTAACTAGCTCCGCAATGACAAAGTGTACGGTACTTCGATTCAAGCGCTGCTGCTCCACCTCTGTGAACTGCTTCGTTGACCTGAATTGTTTCGTTCACCCCCTGTGTTTCTGACAAGCATGCCACATGTGTCACTGGGGAGTCCGGAGAGTCCTCTTCTGACTGTCAGACTGTCAGATTGTCCCAGTCATGTTTGGAGTGCTTGGAATTTTATATAGCAATAGTTTATACTTATATATGCAGTATGACTTGATATCATATGACTTGTAACATCTTGTAATTTGTATGGAATTGGAGCTCTTTCTTGGTGACTTTGGATGATCACTGTTTTGGCCGCCGGACTTTGAGGTCGCCTGGCAGAAAAACACTCTTGAGCCATTCTTAAAATTTGGGTCTTTGGCCTCGGACGAGGGTAGTAAGAAACGCCCGGCACAGCCTGAACCGTGAGGGTGCATGGTTTGAAAAAAGCAGGGAAAGCAGCTAAGGATGGCAGGGTCAACCTGCATAGATACCATACAAAGCCATAGCTTCTGAGATGCCGCACATCTGATTTCACGAGTTCCAAGGTTTTGGGCCCGACCTGAATGTAGCTCAAAGTTCCCAGACTCTAGAAGCCGAGTCAGGTAAGCACAAGAACTGCTTGGCTCAATGTCCAAGAATTCATCTCAACAATAGCTCTTCTGCTGATGCGTCAGCCAAGGTATGAATTCGCCCTCTGGAAAGGCACGCGGACTCTGAGCTTTATTGTGTTGATTGTCAAGCAATCGGGTGCAATCAGCCAATTTCTGTGACTCGCTTGCACTTGCCAAGCATACCTTTGAAAGAATGTAATTTTCCAATGTACGCCACTGCTGTTTTACAGCAAACGGCTGCCACGTGCAAGATCGCCGAACGAAACTTGGCGATTCAAGCGATAGTTGCCATTGAAATTGTCGGTCAAATGCGCCAATCTCATCATAGCTCAATGCAGGAAATGTCCTTAATAAAGCTCAAGTGAGGTTGTGTAAAGACCCACGTCATCGTTCTTTTTTCTTATCGTTTTACAGGGGATTGAGCATGCTTCCAGACAAACGGACATGCGACAAATTACTAATTTCTTACAAGTATAATACTCTCTCAAGTGTCAACATCATGGTGTCGTCTGTATACCTACTCGTATCGTTTCAGATCCAAGTGACCTCAGAGTTTCTGAAGGTGTTCGCCCGTGGTCTTGTTGGTGGATTGGTTCCTGCATCGAAGCCTCCTCCAAGGTGAACGTGCTATGAAGGACAAAACGTTTAAATTCTAAATGATCTTGACCTGACTTGTCCAACCAGAATAACGTAAGATTGTTCAACCATGTTGAACCCCCCTTTCAACCTCAACTTGAAGCTCCGTCAGTCCTGGCCCTTCCAATGTAGATGCTCTCAACCGGGGGATGACATCATCTCCCACAATCGTTGTGGGGACCTCGCTCTCGTCGTCATTCTCAATCTGAGCAATTGCTGGAGTTGAGTAATGACTCCGCAAGCTGGCAAAAAGGAAGGAAGAAGAGAACGGCTGGAGTTAGACACAGTTGAGGGCCTTATCCAACCAACAGGGAGGCGAGGAGTGAATGGTATGGGGTTTCTCCGACGTGTCCTGTTTCTTGAATCGGCAGTCAATGCTGTCCAACTTTTCTGTTGGATCTGTTGGCCAAATGAGTCAGACGTGATGTCAGGTGTAAAGTTGCAGTACGATCGCGGTTTTTGAGGTGGTCGCATAAACAGGATGTTTTAAGAACACAAACACTTAACAACCAGGCAAAGAAAACCAAACAGCTGCTTTCGATCGCTGTCGTGAGATTGGCAGGATAAGCATACTTGCTCGAATGTTGGTCAGTGTGTCAGTGTCATGTACCGATGGACTCTTTGCACGGAGTTAACTTGATGGAAAGTTCTCGGGCGGTCACGGAAGCGAACGAGATTGAATGAGTGTGTGAAAGAGATCGATGGAACAGTTACCAAAGAAGCTCTACTCAGTGCCTGATTCAGTTCTTTCCAATAACTTGCCGCATCTTGCCGCCTTTGCTCATCCCTCAATCTGACACACAAGCCCGCCTCTGCAGAGAAAGCCGTGGGCTGGGGCACCGGAGGCCGCCATGGGGAGAAGCGAAAGAAATCATTGTCGATCATCCTTGGCAAACCATTAAGACCCATCATACAGCACCATCACCTCTTCAAAATGCGACCGTCTATATTAAAATTGAGGGGCGCGACCTCAGCCCCCGACGACATAGCTGGAAAGCACTGCTTACAGCTTGCTGTAAAAACAGTCCCGATTCTATAAGGAAAGTGTTCTCTCTCTCTCTCTATGTACATATATGGTACATATATATATATAATAGTTGTTTAATATACACATTGACATGTAGATACATAAAATAAGTCAGACAATTAAAGGGTCACCCCCGCCACCAAACCAAGCAACTCCCGGAAGGGGTTCAGTGCCGTCACCTTCAGCTTTGCGATCTCCTGTGCCACCGGGCTGGTCGAGAACCGCCTTTGAGTCTAGGATGTCTCGCTACAGTGCTCTCTGTGTGAAGTGCATTCACAAGTAAACAGCAATCGTTTCTCAATGTTTCTCATTAAACCCAATCCTGTGCTGACACGGTGCGGCTTCCCAACACTTGGGCGGTGTTTGCACGGTGCATCACATGCATGCACAGGCCCTCTTCATCCTGAGATCAGGCAAGCTGGGAGAACACCTCGCACAACAAAGGAGCTGTGGTTTAGATATTTCAGATCATTTCGTCATCTTGAGTCAAAGGACAAAAGCCCTAAGTTCAAGGGCATGACAAAATGAGCTGTCCATGTCCAATTCAATGTGGAAGTTGAAACATGCCCTCGTCAAACACACACACACACAAGCCCTGACAACCCCACCCCATCCTTGTAGAGTTGGACCTTGTCCTTGCCGAACATATCTCGCAGCTTGAGAAAGAAGGGAGCATCTTCAGCAAAGCCCACATTGGGATAGCAAAAAAGTAGGGACAGAGTTCTCCTGTGAGAGTAGCTGAAACCATAGCCGTACAAGATCTCATCCAGCTCCTGCTGATCGTCCGCCCATTCTTCCCAGCTCTCAGGATCCTCAGAAGACTCAAGAGACCTCTGAAAAAGAAGGAACACCTTTTTGACCCACCCAGAAATTGCAAAAAGGTAAACAGCTGCACAACATCAAAGAGCTACTCTTCAGCGCCAAAGAGTCGGAAAAGGTGCACACACCTTTGCCTCGTGGCTCAAACGAAACAGGGTGAAACACAAACACAAGGGGGACGGCAAGTAGAACACAAAAAGAACACACTTGAGGCCAGAGGGGGTGAACGAAAGCTAGCTAGGGGTGAACAAGAGTCTGGTCATCAGGGATGGGCGCTGCTGCGCTGGGTGCTCTGCTGGCGCCGGGTCGTCTGCTG